TTTTATTTACGAGAAAGGCTAACGCGCGGTCGATACGCGGTAGTGAGTGGTATTAGTACTATATATTCTGAAAATATACGAGAATATATGTATATACGAAAAATAATATACTACTAAACATGTTATAGGAATGATCTCAGTATGTTAAATACAGTATCTTTATTCACAGTATGAGATAGAATATTTAAATAATATCACGTGCTGTGTGGGTATAAGCATATTGTATGTAACAAGTCACATAAGACGCGGTAAAGAATCGTCACTTAACGAAGACCATTTTTTATTTTTTATACATTTCATTTTGGAAAATGATGTCTCACATAAATATGTAGAGCCAAACATGGAATGAATTTTAAGTCCAAAATCGCAAAGCTTGGGGCATGACGATTCTTTCAAAATTTTATAAAAAACGGCACCAGTTGATTAAAATTAGTCATCAGTGTATTATGCCTACTAGGGATACCACTATAAAAATAACGCGTTAACAATAGTATTTCAAGGGTGACGAGGAAAGCTATTGAAAACACATTTACGCTCCTGAGCTTCGAGCGGCTCGTGGACTTCGCGCGGGATGGCGAAATAAAAGAAGAAATAGCGGTGAACGGAGTCAGTCGAAAATCGGCTGCAAAGTGGCATTTTGGCTGCAGATTCTCAGTACAGAACATCCTGAACGCAACATGTTGGTTACTGGTGCAGTGCAATGTGCCATTCTACTGTTTATTGTGTGCATAAAATTTAGTACATTGTGTTTTGCACACAAATTAAAATTAACACAAATTAACAGTGCTACTGAAACAGTGCCCGCTTACACCGTAGCAGGAAAATATGATTTCCTCAAATCGACAACGTGCGGAGAACAATTAAAAATTTTCCGAGATGCTGTCGATCAACGGTTACTATGGAGCTTAAAAGGTACGAAGGAAGTCAAATTCTTCATCATAATTCTATTGCTAAAATTTAGTATTCGATTTCTTTAGTGTCCGGTCTCAATCTTGTGTTCGGCTAGGGCTGATTGGAGAAAAGGTTATTTTTATTTAATAAAACAATATAATTTACTAAGAAATAAGTTTTATTAATATAATATAATATGACACACTACATGACAGACATATCTTCGCAACCAGAAGCAACATATATTATTTGGAATACATACTTTTAGGTGGTATTTGATAAATATACACGACGTTTTCCTTGTTTTATCCTCAAAAATGTTCATACCACCTAAAAGTATTGTTTGAGATTCCTCCAGTCATCTCATTTGTACTGCCCTCGCCATCTCACGGTTATTCGTACACAGTTGAAAAATTTGTGTTAAATTTAACAGATATCACATGTCCCAAACGGTCCACACAAATTTTTGTGTTAATTTAACATAATATGGATATGTTAAAGGATCACACTAATAATATGTTAATATTTTAACACAAAATAAATGCAAATCTCAAAATCATTTAACATAAATTTTGTGTAAACTTAACATATTTTTAATGACAAAATGAATTTAAAAAATGTAATTTTTACATTTCATAATAAATAGGAATGTATCTTCGGGGAGGTAGGCACTAACAATAAGACACGCCACTTATTTTTCGGCGAGAAAAGTAACGGGCTAGCTAGGATTCGAACCCAGGACCTTCAGCTTGCCAGGCGAGTGCTCTTCCAACTGATCTATCCAGGCCCAGATGTAATGACCCAAATGGTCCGAGATCACTCTTTTATGTTATATAGAATAAAATCAACATTTCATTCTGTAAATTTTAACAGATAAATCTTGTTACTAATAATATAGAACATATGTATTGTGTAAGATTACAAAATAAGTACACATTGTGTTGTTTTAACATTTCTTTTCAGTTATTTTAATAATTTACATTTAAGGTCAATTAACATAAGAGCAATCTGTTAAATTAACACATGAATGTGTTAACCATTTAACACAAAAATTTTAACGGGCATTTCTTTTAACAAGAAAACACAAATTTTCCAACTGTGTAAGGCCCAGTGGGACCGCGTGCGCGACCGCGCGACCGTGTAACAAGCGCGTGACGGGCACGTGGAATTGGCTCCCGGGCTTGCGCGCAAGCTCAGAGAGCACCAGTCGTGTAAAAAGGTCTATCTACATAAGACGCAGGACGCGGGTCGCAAGTCGCAGAACGCGGAACGCAAGTCGCAGGTCGTAGACTTTTGCGTTTACATAGTCCACATAGATACGCAGCGAGCTCTCTGCGTCAAAAGAAAAATGAATAAAATGTCAATCAGAACATAAATGTCATAACTTCTCTTTCAGAAGCAACGACTATCATTAAGAATTGTGAAAGAAATATAGTATATAGCATGAATACAAGGAGACGCAAGTTATTATTGCTGTGTGCAAGTTTATGTTATCTGTCTGCCGAGTTATTACAATTTATTAAATTAAATCGTTCCACAAGAAGATGGTGGGTTCGACCAATAAATCGTCCACGTGATGATTTTGGTCATTTCCATAATCTGTTTTCTTATATGAAAGAAGAAGATCATGAAGAATTCTTCGAATTTACGAGAATGGTACCAAGTCAATTTAATAAGTTGTGTGATATGGTGCGTCCTTTCCTTTTAAAAAGATCTATTCGCCCCAGTCTGTCCGTTGAATTGCGTGTGGCCGTGACTTTATCGTAAGTGATGCATTGTGTTTCGTATTATTGATTATACATATACTACGAGAGGGAGAGAAAGAGAGAGAGAGAGAGAGAAGTATTCTGACATAGACTTCTTATTTATATGACAGATATCTTGCTCATGGTTCTAGCCTGCGAATTCAAGCATGGGAGTTTCGTATTGGGCGTTCAACTATTTATAAAATAGTTCCTGAAGTTTGTAATGTTATTTGGCAAGCTCTTCAGTCAACTTATTTACCAGCACTGAGGAAAAATCAATGGGGACATGTGGCTAAAGAATACGAAGAGATGTGGCAGTTTCCAAATTTACTTGGTGCTGTTGACGGCAAACATATTCGGATTAAAGCACCCATCAATTCTGGATCTTTATATTTTAATTATAAAAAATATTTTAGCATAGTCCTTCTCGCTGCTTGTGATGCCAAATATCGTTTCACATGGGTAGATATTGGACAATATGGTGAGAAAATAATAAAATACATATAAATATTTGGTTAATTTTTTTATATTTATAACACAATTGTAATGTCTCGGAGGACGGTGATAAGAGAATACATGCACTGAATTAAGATACTATGAGAGGAAAGTCACCAATACTGGTATAAGCTATCGTGGCAAAAGCTATCCTGGCAAAAGCTATCGCGTTTGAACAATAATTAAGACAAAACCATGATGTGATTTTTTATATTTATTATAATTGTCTATTTTATATTAAGGTTCAGTCAGTGATGGAGGTGTATGGAATAATACAGATTTTGCCGAAGCTTTAGAAAAAGGATTGGTCGATATACCTCCTCTAAAAAATTTGCCAAATACAAATATTATAACGCATTATGCTTTTGTTGGTGATGAAGCGTTCCCTCTAAAATTATACATGTTACGTCCATATTCAAAAGACAATTTGACAGATGCACAACGTATTTTTAACTATCGTCTGAGTCGTGTAAGGCGAGTGATTGAAAACGCTTTTGGAATTTTAACAGCAAGATGGCAGATTCTTCTGAACACAATATGTCTTAATCCTGAAAATGCTACTGCTGTTGTCAAAGCTTTAGTATGTTTACACAATTTTATAATGATCACAGACGAAGAAATGAATAATGCGCCTAATACGCGATTGTACTGTCCTCCTAATTTTGTGGATAATATGGATAATGAAAATGGAGAGTGGCGTAACATAAGAAGAGATAATGTTGTTCTTGCCGATCTAACACGTTTGGGAAGCAATAATGCATCACGAAGAGCAACAGAACAACGCAATATTTTAAAAGACTATTTCCTCTCACCTATTGGAGAAGCACAGGCACCATGGCAGTATAATCGTGCTTTTCGAGGAATAAATATTAATTTGCCAGAATAATATGTACCTTATGAAGGAATAAACTTTTATTGTGTGCAGTGTACATTTATAATATTATATACTTTATTGCGTCATTTATTTCATACAATACAATATCTCTGGGAAAAAAAAGTCAGTTACAACCCATTTTGGGGCCCATAATTAGTAATCGAATTATTTAGATTGTTCGTAACTCTAATCTTTTACGAATTTTATCCCGCGTAACTAAAATTCATAATTAGCTGTTCTATCTACAGGGTGAGGGAAAAGTACCGGACCGGTGAAATATCTCGACAAATATAAGAGATACGGAAAAATATTTCAGACAAAAGTTATACGGTTTTAAAAGGACTATATAATGGTAAAATAAATTTTTGAAAAAAATTAATTTTTTATGGTTATATAGAGGTCGCCGTCATTTTTTTAAATGGAACTCCCTATTGTTTATTATACTATTTTATTCTACTAATTAATATGAACAACTTTTGTCTGAAACATTGAAAAAGTTATAAATTTTCTCTTGAATATCTCAAAAAGTATTAGGCAAATCAAAACATGTTTCAGACAAAAGTTGTTCATATTAATTAGTAGAATAAAATAGTATAATAAACAATAGGGAGTTCCA